CCCCCCTCCTCTAGTGTCAGACACATCCTATTATTAGAGTTAACCCTTTCTATCTGATCCCCCCCCCTCCTCTAGTGTCGGGCACATCCTATTATTAGAGTTAACCCTTTCTATCTGATTCCCCCCCCTCCTCTAGTGTCGGGCAGATCCTATTATTAGAGTTAACCCTTTCTATCTGATTCCCCCCCCCCTCCTCTAGTGTCAGACACATCCTATTATTAGAGTTAACCCTTTCTATCTGATTCCCCCCCCTCCTCTAGTGTCGGGCAGATCCTATTATTAGAGTTAACCCTTTCTATCTGATCCCCCCCCTCCTCTAGTGTCAGACACATCCTATTATTAGAGTTAACCCTTTGTATCTGATTCTGATTCTCCTCAGTTCGTAGCCCACCCCCAGTGCCAGGCTCAGATCGGAGAGATGTGGTACAGTGGTGTCCCTTTCCTCAGATACCTCAACCGTTTCGGCTATCTCATGTTGGCCATCCCGATAGGCCTCATATGTTGTCCCTGTCTGTCCCTGGCTTACCTCGTCTCGCCCTGGTCAAAGGTGAGTATTTTGTTAATTAAAGAATACGAAAATGTACGTTTCTTTAAAGGAAACTCATCGTTTTTTGTGTGTGTGTTTTTTTTTTAAAGTTCTGTTTAAACTGTATTATGCTTGATATAACCACGATTGATTTTAGGTAGAAAAAGTGAGAGTGGGGAGAGGGGGAGGGGGTAGGAGAAAAGGTCTATTTTCTTTCTTTTTTTTGTTTGTTGTTGTTGAAAGTATTATACATGTTCTATTTGTCACCATTTCTTCAACTGGGTTTGGTTATTTAAGAGACGTCCATTTCCGATACCTCAACCGTTTCGGCTATCTCATGTTGGCCATCCCAATAGGCCTCATATGTTGTCCCTGTGTCTCCCTGGCTTACCTCGTCTCGCCCTGGTCCAAGGTAAGTCTGCTCATTTGTTTTCTGTGGGTAAAAAAAAAATGAGACTGTATGATTGATATAACCCTGTTCGAATAATTTTAGGAAGGAAAGGGGCACAGGAAGAGTTTTTAAAAATAATTTTTTAGGGGGGGGGAGTGGGTGGTGGGAGGGGTGATTATGATATTTTCTATTTGTCATAATTTCTTCAATTGGATATGGTTATTTGAGAGACGTCCATCTCCGATATCTTAGCTAACGTCTTGGGCTATCTCATGATGGTCATAGCACTTGACCGTGTCTCCCCCTGGGTTACAGAGTCCTGCTCTGAACAATGGTAAGTCTACTTTTGGTGTTTTATTTTACGTTTCTTTTAAGCGTTAAAGTTGTGATGTGGTTTTTTTTATACTTTACCTTTAAGCATAATAGTCGTGATATTTTATGTTATTTTGTTTATCTTATTTTATTTTATTTTAATTTATTCTATTTTTTTAAATTTCGTTTTGTGTTATTATATTTTATTCATGTCATGTCACTTTATTTTATTTTTTCTAATTAAAAAAATCTGTTCGCTGGGACATTGTATCCTTCCCAGACCGAGTTGAAGAAGAAGATCGCTACTTAGGCGACTTAAGTTGTATCGATGAGGACGTAAAAGATCCATACACCACTGCCAATCACATCATCTTCTTCTCTCACCCAGGTATCCCGGATCGTGAACACGCCCCTGATGAAGTTCCTGTCGTACACCTGCTCCTACCTCTCCTTCCTTATGCTCATCGTTGTAGCCAAGCTCTACCTACGTCATTACTTCGACAGTCTGGCCTGTGATCACCCGGAGACCTGGGCCTACCTCATCGTCACCGTTATCTTCATGTGGATAGTTGGTGAGTCCTGACGTCATCTTTGTGTGGATAGTTGGTGAGTCCTGACGTCATCTTTGTGTGGATAGTTGGTGAGTCGTGATGTCATAGCGGTCATCTGTATGTGGATAGTGGGTGATTCGTGACGTCATCATCCTGGTTCGGTCATCTTCAAGAGGATAGTTGGTGAGTCATAGTGGTCATCTTCATGTGGATAGTTGGTGAGTCGTGACGTTATAGCGGTCATCTTTGTGTGGATGGTTGGTGAGTCGTGACGTCATAGCGGTCATCTTTGTGTGGATAGTTGGTGAGTCATAACTGTCAGTTTTATTTGAATAGCTAGTACGCTTACAAGCACACACACTGATGTACACACGCACGCGTGCACAGACACACATACACACACACAGACACACGCACATACACACACACACACACACACACACACACACACACACATAGACAAACACTCGGCAATATCTGTATATCTACCATCCCAAAACATCACTCTCTTTCATCTCGCTTTCCCCCCTCCCAATCCCCTCCCCTCCCCTCCCCTTCTCTTCTCCTCTTTCCCCCACCCTCTCCCC